TCTTGTTTCACGAAGACACAATTTCCCATAGCGTGATTATCAATTGAATTTACATGCAGTCTCACTGGAATGCGAATGTTTCACGTATTTTCCCTCCATTCACGTTTACGGTTTGTTTCCATGTAATCGTTTTATTGAATTCGGTGTCAAGGGTATGAAAAGCATTGAGTGGTAGAGCCATCATTTATTAATCAAACGTAGACATTCGTTTAACACTTTAAAACGCATTTCCCCTATTGATTTATCAAAATAAAAAAAGAAACAATTGAAAAGAGATTCAAAGAAATCATTGGAAATCATGTTTTGAGGACTACAAGAGTACTTAAGAATTATTCTAATATAAAATTTCAGGAAAAGGAAAAACTTACTCTTTAATTATAGAAAGACTGAAAATTTTATATCTTCGCTGTTCATTTTACAAATAATTCGTATAAATTGGACGAGATTTCAAAAATGAAAAATTAAGCTTTCTAATTAATCCAAGAGATTGAAGCCGCTGTTTCCTGGGATATACATAGCTTTGTCCTGCGGCTTTTGACGTCACATAAAGCACACAGCAGTTAGAGAGTAATTTAAGCTTGTGGCAACTGTTACAGAATAAAATTAAGAAATTCTTCAAAAGAGAAAAGTAGAAATTAAATTCTAGTAAGTCAACGTAAACTTAAGAATTTTAAAAATGATATTTTTTACCGTAAGAAATCGCAGAATGTCAAATAACAGAGAGAAACGAAATGAAAAATTGCAGAAGCGTTTGCCTCGATAGAGATCGAGAAAAGAATGCAATCCGACGAGTCACTCAATAATGATAGTCTGAAAAAAAAACGTATGAGCAATTTGAATCGTTCTCAGTGAAATGCAATCAAATTCATACAAAACTGAAACGAAATCAAAATAATCTTTTATTCTACAGCTTTGCAGCTTATGTCTATCGTCTCAAACGATTCATTCGACAACTTTTCACTTCAAACAGAACACAATTTTTAGTAACATTGTATACAACGTTAAATTATTCTCAATAATTATTTGAGAAAATGATTCAATAATGGCAACAAGTTTTAAAAATTTTCCAACAAGAATTAGCGAAATAGAAATTAATATATTCGTTATTCTAAGAAATGTCTGGTTTGCTTATCTAATATTCGATATTTTTTTTCATTATTCTCTACTGTCCAGTTCAATCAGTCAATCAAAAGACCACGCATGCGTGTTAATAGTTCGAAATTTTCCAACGTACAAAAATAATTTTCAAATTCCGTATAAAATTATGATATGAAAAAATTACATTTTAATTAAGCAATATTTTTTCTTGGAAAAATGAATCAAATCAATCATTTCATATTTATTAACTTACTAACTAACTTAAATCAGAAAATACCTCAACAAATGTCTGTTTCGAATTATGCTGACTTGTCTCGAATAACCGCCATAAAAATGTCGAAAGAATCATTAACCAAACCAGCAAATTATCTCATTTCGTAAATACCTGATATGACAGAAAGGAACAAGTCTTGAACAGGACATACGAACATGTAGATAACCTCGTCCTATTAAATCGATCCAATACGAAACCCAACCTCAATACGATCTGCGAGAGAAGGTGAATTGACAGCAAGAATACAAAGCCGCATTTTCGTAGAAAGTAAGAAAAGTGAACGCTCACGTGTCGGAAATACCGGACTGGAAACGGCATCCACGATGTTCAATATGTTCTTGATTAATCCAGCTTGACACAAATTTCGTATTTCTCGATAGAAACGAATCAACTTGTTAAAAATCGATCGCGATTAATTTTTCGATACAAAAAACTAGCGATCGAATACGCGCATACGATCATACGTCCGTAAGTATCGCGCGACTCCTTCTTTCTCAGTCTTTCTCATGCGAGTTGTCGTTCGGTAATATTCGGCTGTATTCGGCTTACTTCGGCCAAATCGTCGCGCTTGGATCCCGTAGAAAGGAGAAGTTTCACCATGTGCAACATGTCACTGCACTAGTAAAATCTTGTCGATTTTCTCCCTGTGAATTTTCATCGGTTATACGAAATCGTAGTCCATAGAATGGACATTGCAATCAATTCCGGTTGAACGTTTCACGGATCATTGTTCCATTTCGCAACGAGTACGTTTGTCCATGCGGTTACATGCATTGTTGTTACATTTCTGCCAATAGAAGAAGCCTGTTTTCATGAAGTAGATATCGACTACACACAAAACAATATGGTGACAATGTGGTGAAATAAATACTGACAAAACGCGCAATTAAAATGTATAATGAAACGTTAAATCGCACGAGAATTGCAGTTCTAGTAAGTGAGCTACATCGTAAGTAGAATTTTAATTTTGAACGTAGATTAAAGAAATATGTGAATCCTTCCTATTAGAAAAAAAGTGTAACGATGTTGTAATTTTCTCTTTGAAGAGCAACGTGAAATAAAAACAATAAATCTCATTGTGAATATGATCTTTATAAAAAAATTAAAATTACATTTTAATTTTATGCAAATGGACATCTTATTCGAACTTCTCAGTTTTAATTTTACAATCTTATCACGTTGCAACTGTCTAAGAGAATAAATTCTGTTGCGTAATTAATATTCTAGAGCAATTCAGACAGCTGTTTATTCTTTTTTTACAAAGTTTTCCATCTCGAGAATAAGAATTCAAATATAAGATAACAGAATTACTCTATCAGACGTTTCGCAATATATGTATTGACTTTGTACCATTTGCGTTCACATCGACAAAACGGTTGACTCGAAAACGCAGTTTTACGAATCAACATGACGCGCTTTTCTCTTTTTATTTGATATATCGCATATATATCAATGTGAAAAATTCGCAATGCACGCGCAGTCAAGTATTTTTCACGAGACATTTTATCACTGCGACACCTCTTTTTGAGAAAATTACGCATGCAAATGGCGAAAAAAAAAGAGAACTAGAAACCTTTCAGTAACTTATGGAAATATTTCTATAGACTAAAAAAAAAAGTGAAAAGTGCTACATGATTGCCACTTGTCAGCGTTTCACAGAAATAAATGTTTCAAACGAAACTCATACGATTTCGACGATTTACAATGTGACTGGTTACAACAAAATTGTTGTTGCTTTCATCGTAATGGATGTGTTCAAAAATTTTATGAATGACAGCGTTTTTATCGATAAATTTAACAACTATTAACAATCGCTTCTACGCAAATTATACTTATAAATTTTATACGTTATTTTATACATGTTAAAGCTAACGTTTTACAATTGCAAAATTCTATATACATATTATTAAAAATATATTATTAAAAATAACCAATTGTGAAATCTTGTCGAAACATATATCGCATATTTCAAGATGCACTTTTATTTATTTTTTTCATAACTTTAACAATAAAAGAGAAAATGCTGTTCTTGCATTATTGTTTAATAATTATGTAAGAATTTTTAATTAAAATTCTTTGAACATATTTCTGAAACAAAATTATTATAAAAATACAAAGCTTTCAAAGCTTAACATTGTTGCATGTGTTATTTAAAATCAATAATTTTTTTCTTTTCAAATAACAAAACATCAGTTTTATAATCGAATCGAATCGAGATGAAATGAAGCGAAATAAAAAGGAATCGTACGAGAAGAATGTTTTTGTAGAAGCAAATATTTTTATGAATCGAAACCTCATAAAAACCTCATTTGTGAAATCGAATAAGTCGAATCGATACATCGATTTCGAACATTTCTCGAATCGTCTTAAAATGCAAAACAGACATTATTTTCTTGAGAGATAATGCATATGAGAAAAACGATATTTAAAAGCTGACGCCATCATTAATTAATTTAATGCACAATTTTTTTCAAACATTCGTTAGTTGGTTAGAATTCATTAATTAACTTTTTTATATTTATTTCTCGTCTCTCTTTTCCGTTTGCTAATTAAACAAGTTATCGATGTTAAAATTTTCAACAAGAACGAAAGAGAGAACGTATATATTCGTAACCATGTTCGAAGCATAGAAAATACTCGAATAGCTTTTCGTTTGATTTTATTCATTCCGATTTCCAACCGCGTATAGTTACGAACCGCTTCTGTGTACGAATATTCGACGAAAGAATAATTTTCCTTCCAACCTGATTCAACATAATTTTTTTTACAATCATGAATCTGTACGCTTCCGACGAAAAATACATGGATAGTATAAAATCGATCGATTAGTTGCAACGAATGAAATTTTATACGCGAACGGAAAAACCGTAAAATTTTAACCGGGCTTTTTATTTGAATTTCAAATTTGAACTTTCGAAGTTGAGTTGTTTTTTTTTATCTAAATTTTAAATTTAATCACTTTTAAAAATTAAATGTTCGAATTTTTTTTAAATCTGATTAACAACACGAGTAGGTATAAAATGATTTTTTAATTAAAATCTTTTTAAAACGGATGTCATAGCACGTAGATTGGTTTTCATGAGATTGTTTATGCTAAATTGCTTCTATTCGCGGCGGATTACAGTATTGCTGAACGGCTGCTTCAAGTTTGTTGTCCCGTTTCAATTTCATTCGTTTACACTCGAATCGTTCAATCATGTTATCATCTCGATTCGATCCGATTTTATGCAAACGAGTTTCTACGCGACGATTTAACTGAATCGAACTCGATCGATAAAGGAAGATCGAAATCCAAATACTACTTTACGAACAATGATGTAAAAAAGAAACACTTAATTTCCACTTAAATAACGAGAATAATCGACAATTAATTCGAGTCTCGAGACAAAATATTTTTATCGAACGAGAAACTTTGAAAAAAGGAACGAAAAAGGCAACGTTTAAGGGAATATAGACAGTCTATGATCGAACATGTGTCCTGATCGATATTAAAAAGATTCGAATATCTTTCTGCAATTTTCCACAAATATTTTATTTCTTCGTTATCAAAAAATTTCACCAATACGATTCTACAAAATAAAGTTAAAATTATTGTCCAAAAAACACACAGCATATATGATCAAATCAAAGCAATATGAATATTCCATCTTACATCGAATTATAAAATTTTTCAACTTTTCAAACGAATAATCACATTTGATAATCTGTTCAAAATCCCTTTTTTCATCGTTCATTTCATTCAAGGGTCGCTAATTACTTACAAGATTAATTTTCAACCAAGTTCGCCACAGATATTACGAGATTAAGTCTCTTTTTTAAGTCATGTTGCAAGCAGGAAGCCATTTTTCTTCGACGAAGCTCTTGGCTAAGCAAAAAAAAAAAAAAAGGAAGCAGCAACGAGCCTGCTAGAATTTATCGTGTTCTTCAACCTTGAAAACGACAATACGACTTCAAATCGCGGTTTATTTTCGCCTCTATGCCATTAATCCCTCATGCCGCACAATCTCGAGCTTCGCCATTGACGTCCACGTCTGCGTATAGCTCGATACTTCTCCTTTGCGATCACAATCCAATTCCTTCCTTTCTTCTTCATCACCTTTTCTACCTTTTTCTCCGTCCAAACTCTGGCGTTCCAGTTAGCACCCGTTTCACTTTCACAAGTTGGACGGAAAGTTTTTTTATTACGTTCAAATTGCCCGATTGCTCTATGAGAAGTTAAATGAGGATCCCCAGGGCGAAGTAACCCCCGAGTTTTATGATGCGGCTTCCTCGAAAAACGCTGAGTCTAAATCTTTGAAGGCAATGTGTATCGTGAAAGCAGACTATGGTTATCTCGGTTATAACTTTAAACGAGGAAAAGAAAAGAGATGGGAAGATATTCCGATAGATAGGATAAGATACAAATTATCTAATTTCGTTAAACATGATTTTTTTATTATGGAAAAAAAAGGGAAATGTAAAAAATAAATTCTTATTCATTATGGATTATAAATTTTATAGATTTCTAGAAATGAAAATTTTTTCTCGAACGCTCTATTTTTAATTTTAAAGATAATTGGCTAGATTTGATAAGATTTATATATGTAATAATCTTCTAATAATCTAAGAAAGATTTCAAGATAATAAAATAAAAAATTTTCATTTATGAATCTTGTGATAACTTTTTTGAAAATTTAAGTTTCATCGATCATTTGCAATTCTTTATAGAAAGCAGTGTCTTATAAATGATTTTTTATTTTACTTAGATTTTTTTTATCATAAAAGAAGCGACGAGAACTTTCTTGGTTGTCTAATAAAATAGGAAAATATTACAAATTCTTTCAATCGCAAAAGAATGAAATGACTTCTAACTGAAAAACTCAAAGAAATGAAAAGAATAATCATGCAAAAGAATGTCAGAGAAATAATACATGATTAGAATGGCGGAGAGAATATTACGTGGTTAGATAACGTATGAGACAAGATAGTACAAAGAATAAACCATCAAAAAAACGCAATAAAAGATTCATTTCGAAAAGAGAAGATAATCCAAAGTTGGAATAAATATGTGCCAGTCAAGAATAAAGAATATAAATAATCAAGTATCAGCGACTGCATATAACTTTATTTCATTCCTTTCTTCTTTATCTCGTATTGACTCGTATTGTGAATTGGATATAGAATTAGGTCAGTTATATAAAGGATGAGTGCAAATATATTTTTTTACTCATCGGTTTCCAATATTATACGAATCAATTTAAGGCTAAAATAATCGTCTCTTCATCATCCATATGATTACTATGCTCATTATAAGTAAATTTTCTCTTTGCGATTGTTTTTTCGTTACGATAATTGTTTGTACAAGTTTCTTTTAGATTTTCTATTTAATTTAATTATAGATAAAAATATATTTAAAAAAGAAGAAAGTAAACTAAAATATTCAATAAAAGTTGAACTATATATAATTCAATTTATCATTTGATTATCAGAAGAGCGAATTAATCAAAAAGAATTAAGCAAAAATTTACCACGAAACCATTTCGTAAATTTCACGAAAGATTCACATATTTATAAATGAAAATTTCAAAACGTAAAAGAAAAAAATAAATAAAAGACAATAAGTACAGTTACATTTACACGTCTATATTTGAAAAATAAAGCAAAACTCGATAAGATAAGAAAATCGAAACATATTTTATATTAAACTTCATCGCTAGAAATATAATAATTTTCGATAACAAGTTCTTCATTCCGTAGATCCCTATCAACATATCGCTCGCTCGTTCTTTTCTCCTCCCTGATAGTGGTTCGTTCAGGAATTACTTGGCCGATGTTCCAACAACAAAAGTGATTCGACCGGATTATTACAAGAAAGTGTAGCAAATGCGTAATTCGATGGAATACATCGAATAACTCGGAATTACATTGTGGTTGGACAGAGATCATCGTGGAAAGGAGGGTTGAAACCACGTAGTGGACGAGAGAAGGAACGGTCGCGACGCGTTGGCGAGAAGAAAACAGCTGGATCGCCATTCGTTTTCGCGGTTATTGTAGACAGACTCGGTTCACAATATACATACACTTTGGTATCAATGTACGTGTAAGCGCGTACCTACGAATTCCTTCCGGAGCCATGCTCGTTCCACTAAATACGCGAGATCCAATTTGGACGAATCCCAAAATTCGAAGAAATAGTACCACGCATATATGCCCGCATATACATACATGTATGTACATAACATACAGAATTGTGTCTCTATTCAATATCAAGTTGACCTTAAAAATAAAATTTAAAAAAAAATATCTTGTATTAAAGGATTTTAAATTTGAAGATTATTAATGTGATGTGAAAAATAATTTTTCTTTATTTTTTTATCTCTAACTTTTATATTACATAATACTTTATATGATACTTTATATAAGATAAGTAAGAAGATTACTCTAGTAGATATGCATATAATTTTATGTATATTGCAGGCATTCAATTTCAACCAAAAACTTTCCAGCAAATGTTATTGGTACCTTCGACTTCATCCTCTATTGCTTCTATACTTCTACTTTGTAATTGTCTTTGATGAGATTTGCCTTCCGTGAAATCTCTTTTTCGAGACAAAAACATTCGTTCTGAACTCATTAGATCCAATACAAAGACGAGATTATTGTATCTAACAAGTGTAAATGTTTCTGTTAATCGTCCTCTAACTGGAAATTCACGATTCAACCTGGTATTTCAATTATTTTGCCGATAAGACGATCCAGTAAGAGTAGATTGTATCTCTTTTCAACTCAATCCAGGTCTCAACTAAACCAGATACATAGGCAAGCAACAAGAGTCAACTCGTGAAACTACACAAGACGTTAAACTCAAGGAAGATGAAAGTACGAAGTCTGCTTGTGACGCGAGTTAACTTGAAACGTTCGAAACGACAAGATTTCAACTCGGTCGGTTGATGACAGCTTTGTTACCGACTGTACCATACTAGTTCCATACATATGCAAAAACATTCGGTACTTACCTCCTTACGAAGATGGTACATCGTTGAAAATCAATCTAAGAGAAATTCATAAAATATAATCTCTCTCAAGCTTTTACAAATTACAAAAGTCAAAGATATTGCTTTAGTAAGTACTTATCATTGATATATTTCAGATACGAAATAGTTACAAGATAAAGAAAATAAAAGATTCGAGGAAAAACTGGGAAAGAAATAATCTAACCAATATTCCAATATAACGAGAGAACAAACATAAGTGGAATAACTCGGAAGTTAAGATAAACAGAATTTATAATGGAAATTTCTTTTCATAATCGGTCGAGTTTTACGAAACTTCCTACGTATTTTAATCCTGGATCCTGGAACGAGTTATGGTTAACCCGGTTGCTGTTGAATTAACCAGAAAATAAGACCAAACATCGAAATTTCGCAAGTTTTTAAATTATAATTCTTATTGTGTAGTGTGTAGCAATTAACGTTTCTATTCTTCTAATATTTCTTTTTCAATTAAATTATCTTTAATATTCTTTAATTTAAAAAATAGAAGAAAAAAGTAAAAACAACTAAAATTAACTTTTTATTTATCTTTTAAATATTATATATAATAATGGATTGTAAATTAAAGTGAATTTGAAGTCGAAATACAAAATTAAATGGATATTATTATTAAATAAAAATAAATTAATATTTATTTTCAAAAAACATTCTGGTAAGTGATTTTTTCCAATATTAAATTATCTCTTATCTATAGTTTTAAATTATAAAACTAAAAAAATATTTTTAAATTTTTCCAAGGTTTCGAGTATATGACATATTTCTAAAAAACAAGATTAGAAGAAGTGATGAACAATGCAAACAATGAACAAATAATTATTTCCAAAATGAATTGAGAAAGAATTAAAGTTCTCAGTTTAGGAGACCACTGGAAATTAGCTAACTTTTCCGACGGTTTCTCCAGGATAAACTAATTTCGAGCACCAGAAACGAATCGCTGTTCATCATAATGCGAACTCTGCGACATTCACCAGTCGAAACACGAATCCGGACGGTCTGTCCAGCTGTTTAACGGTAAACAAGCCGATTTAGCTTGACCCAACCTATCCTACAAATCCTTATTAGAGCGACACTTGGCTAATTGCG